GGGAGTAACACGATCAAGTTTCCTCCTGACGTTTCTCAAAATCTCATCACTCCCTCCCTCCCTCCCTCCCTCCCTCCCTCCCTCCTTGAGAAAGACTTCTGAGGCGCCTCAGAAGGACGTTTTTTTTTCGCAAAATGGATTTTTTCGGACAAGACTCACTTTGTGCATCGCGATGGAGGGAAAAGGGAACTTTCAGATGCGTGAGAATACAAAGATGTCAGTCACTGCGTTCCACTGCGGCCCAGTGCGGTCCACTGCGGTCCAGGCATGATGAACTTCCAACATACATTTCAGAGGCTCACCTTTTGCGTCGCGACAGAGGGCGGAATGTATTCTTTCACGATTTGGAACTTCCAGATATCCGACAAGACTGCCGCAGCGGCAGGGGAGAAGCTCTTTTTATCGGTCCACTGCGGCACTGCCGTTAAGTTGCTGCCTTCCATCGCGAAAAAGGACTTGCCAGAAAGCTGCGGGAAAGTTGCAAAAAGGATACTTTTTGGATACCTTGGTTTTGCAACTTTCCAGTGATGGTCAAATGTTGCAGAAATCGTGGTTGCGGGAAAGTTGCGAAAATGTTGCATTCCTACAACTTTCCCGCAACACAACCGCAACTTATCGGACAATCTTTGGACACGTTGTGTATACATTTCAGTCACATGTATGCAGTTTCACCACCTGCCACGTGGCATGCGTACAGTTTCGACTTCGAAGTGAACGTACGCCGGTACGTTCCCGAAGATATTTTGCCACGTCAGCTACGATATTTCTGCCACGTGTCATTCGCGATATGTGGACTCAGGCGTGACACTTGGACCAATCAAACAAGATGTGCGAACGTGGGAAAATTGATTTTAACAGGCCGCCGAATTGTCTGAAATCGGAGCATGCGTTTTAGTTACAGGTGTGTTTAAAAGTATTCAGTTTATACAGTATATGAATTCTCTTGCACATTTTCATGCATACTTATCAGCATACACAGTGTGAGAGTCGTAAGCATAGTGAGGTGCCATAGCTAGGTAAACCCTAGCTAGGCAAGAGAGAAATGAAGAAAGGAGGAGTTTCACTAGCAGCAGTTGGGATACATATAGCAAACCCTAACAGGGTTGTACTCGCTATAGAGCACCCCACTACAGGCTAGATAATAACATTCTGACACACCCCCATAGCCAAAGTGGGGTGTAATCAGCAGAGCACGCAGTCATAGAGCAGGTGCACAATTGCAAGCAAAGCTAGAGTTAACCACAGCGGGCAAGTGAGGAGGAGGAGGAACTGTGGAGGGAGAGAAGATGGGAGGCAACGACTGAAGCTGCAGAGGCACGGGCACAGGAGCGGCTGACTCAGTGGCTACCGAAGCAAGGGCGACGGACTACTGGAGTAACTGGCTCCGCGGCTATAGACGAGCGGCAGGAGCAACGGACCCACTGGCGACTGGTGCAACAGGCTCACTGGCTACCGAAGCAAGGGCGACGGACTACAGGCGCTGCAGGCGACACGACAGCTACCTTCACACAACCTCCTCCAACTGCCCCACACCCTCGACACACACCCCCTGCTCAAACCCTAGCTCCACTCCCACAGCACCCCCCTAGCACCACTCCTTCGGCTCCCACACACCCACCCCCCTGAGCGGCAGCTGCAGCAGCGGGAGACGGAGGAGGAGGAGGAGCAGGGGACGTCGCACACAACCGGCACCCCCACAACCGTCACCCCCACACTCCCCACCCCCAAACCCTAAAACGGGTGGCACGGGGTAGGAGCGCGGGGGACGGCGAGGGGGACGGCGCGCGGCCCCCAGGGCGTCACCACGGGGTAGCGAGGGGCCGCGCGCGGCGCCAGGGGTGGAGCGCGGCCCCCAGGGCGCCACTGCGGGGCAGCGAGGGGCCGCGCGCGGCTCCAGGGGTGACGCGCGGCCCCCAGGGCGCCACCACGGGGCAGCGAGGGGCCGCGCGCGGCTCCCCAGGGCGCCGCGACGTGAAGAGCGGGGGCCGCGCGTGCTCCCCAGGGCGCCGCGACGAGCAGGGCGGGGGCCGCGCGCGGGTCCCCAAGGTAGGAAACCGCCGCGCGCCTCGGGGCGCACGGCGGGCAGAAAACCGCCGCGCGCCCCGAGCGCACGACGGAAAGAAAACCCGAAAATCATACATTTGTTTTCCGCTCCCCGTTGGCGCGAGCTTTGCTGGCGTGTTGCCAGCAGTGATCATGACTCGAACAGGGACGTGGCGGTTGTGGAGTGCACACGTCAGCTGCTCCAGTGACGTTGACTCGAACAAAGTTCGGCGGAGAGCGCACGTGGTCAGGAGGTGCCAGACATCCACATCAGCATAGATGATGGTGATGACATTCTCTTTCGGCCAATCATCGTACGAATGATTTTTTTCTTGACAACCTAGACCACAAAGAATCCGCTCTATCCGCTCTATCTGTAACGTGTTGCTGTTGCTAACGCGGACAGTACGAACCGAAAATACCTCACATACAGTCTATTACGCATTCTAAGCAGGCCTACTGTAGATGCATCAATAGAGAAATACATCAAAAACAAAATTCCACACTTTCTAGTCCAAACTAAAAAACCAGAGACATATTCTTTCCGAATTTCACTAATATTTGCATATTTGTGTAATTTTGTCATATATCCAGAGGTTTGTGTGGTGTGCGAGACATGCACTGGTTATTGGCTATTCTGTATATTTCCTTCACCACCTAGGACATTGACTCTCACATCTCCTAAGAAACCCAGTGCAAAACAGCCACACACATGTTTGACACCCTGGGCAAGGACTGGGCCCTGGACGACCCTTCATGATCCCCCCCTTCCCGCAGCCCCCTTCTATTTCCCCCCCTGGTCCGTCACAGATCTTTTATTTGATGAGCATGCCTTGCCACGACAACATGTTGCAGTCACAACAACAGGAGTGCGGTTACAGACACAGGAGTGCGGTTACAGCAGCAGGAGTGAGGTTACAGCAGCAGGAGTGCGGTTACAGCAGCAGGAGTGCGGTTACAGCAGCAGGAGTGCAGCTACAGCAGCAGGAGTGCAGTGAGGGCCAGGCCAATGGAGGCAAGCAGGTGGAAGATGGAAGCAGTGGCTCCTGCAGGGGAATGGGAGAACAACGGAGCAGGCTGTTAGGGCATCATATGCAACTTGCACCCTAATTGAACTATCATTTGGCGTGACGTACGAGAAACAAGTTGTTCGGATCACTCAAATCCACCATGACTGAGTGTGCGTGTGCGTATGTGGGTGGGTGTGGGTGTGTGGTGTGCGTGCATCTCTGCATCTCTCCGTACCTGCATACGCGCTAAGAGCCTCCATATTATAAGGGAAAAGCACCGCGTGGCTCTTGTACACCACGACCTCGCTCTCCGGAAAATCCTGTACGACGTCTCCAGCATCCTCCACTGTGTATGCAAACGGGCTCCCATCGGTTTGCACATAGCCCTTGACTAGAGGGAGCGGAGAGCTGGCCCGCTGCTGAGGAGACGAGCCGGATATGTTCCACTCGCCGCCATACCTATCTGAATACGTCATCCACAGCGGCTGCCCCTCCATAGTGGGAAGCTCCCATGGTCCGCCGGATGAGTACTGCTTGTAGGGGGGATGGTAGAGAAGTGAGTGCGGATACAGGAGATAACAATCATAACCGTCTATCGAGTTATTTCAAAAAAAAAGAAACGGCCGCACTAGTATACAATGCGGTGTGACTTACGGATGGAGTTTTGTTTTCGTTTATGATAAACGAAAACATTACGTTTTTCGAATATAACATGATCCAACAGATGCTCAGCCTCACTTTCAGAAGCTCACCTTCTGCGTCGCGATGGAGGGTGGGATATATTGCTTCACGATCTGAAACTTCCAGAGATCCGACAGCACTTTGGTGACAGTGGGGGTGAGTAAGCTCTGTGCGACGGAGCTCCACTTTTCTGCCGAGCTGTCGGCTATATCCATGAGCGTGAGCGCGTCGGCGATAGCCTGATTGTACTTTCGCGTCGTGTTATCAAGACTGGCGTAGACTGCAGCCACGGGAATCTCGTCTGACCGCGGGACGAGTATCGTCACGCCCGAGATGTCTTTGGTCCCGTCCAACGCGAACAGACGCTCCATGAGAGTGGACTGAACGTCCCTCGACTTCAGGGCTGTTATCAGATCGCTCACGGGCATGGCGCGGGTGGTTGTGAGCAGCTGCGCGAGCAGCGCCACAAGCAGCAGTGCCACGGAGGCGCTGGAAATCTGCAGGGAAAATGAACGTCCGGCCATAGTTGTCTTTGAGCAGTAGCGCGTGCAAAAATTCCCTTGTTACTACACACCGCAATCCTTAGAGGTAGTTAGGAAATGAAGAGCGATGGAGAAAAAGAGAGCGGTGGCGATTGCGGGAAGGATGGATCTTTGCGGGAGAAATTGATGAGAAAGCGAAGGTGAGGAGACGTTTATATGCTCGAGGACTACCACCACCCCAAGTCGTTGAGGTGAGGATGGAGACATTCTTGATGCGCGACGCATTCGAGGCGAATCGCGAGTCTTGGATCAATCAAAGAAAGTGTTAGAAATTTGGCACTGCTCGTAAATTCCAGCCTCGCTGGATCCTTGCCCTGTCAGCAGTGCACGGTTGCCCGCTCGGACGTCTCCAGAGATCGTTGACGCAAACAGAACTGGCCAGCGTAGCTGGCGAACCAAACAACTGCGTGATTGGCGGCCGCATTCCTGATTGGCCGTTCGTCATCCTGCTGGCATGACCCTTGACTTTGACCTCACGGACCACAAGGAATCTGCATCCTTACGAACCGACCCGGCTGTTCTAAAGATGTTGAAGACCTGAAATTATGTAAGAATCGACCAACAATATATACTTTTTACAATACATTTTAAGCAAGCCTAGATGCATCCCTAGAGAAGAAAGTTGATCTGAAAAACTCAAGACACTTGCAGATCCATGCAGAATGCATTGCAGCTCGGAGAAGAGAAGCGGGTGGGCGAAAGCACACTAGGGACATGGCAGCCGTCACTGCAGCAGAAGCTGCTGTGAATGCAGGCTGCAATAGCTGGAGAGTCGGCCCTTGCAACTGGGACCTGAGGTGAAAACGGAGTGGGATGGCAAAAGGAGAAAGAAGTGAAAACCAGGTAAACTTTTGATACATTCACGGCACCTGAAAATAACAGGTGCGGAGAATTCTGGGAGTATGTGTGTGTGCATGTGAATGTGAGGGAAGGTTTGGATGGGCGAGCCGGTGTGCGTGTTCGAGTTTGTGTGAACGTACAACAAGTGTAAGCAAGCACATGTTAGCACAAGGCACTCATGATCGATTTTAGCCACAAATAAACAACAAAGCCAGCCAGCCACCCACCCACCCACCCACCCACCCACCCACCCACCCACCCACCCACCCAGCATAACCCAGAGAGCTGCACCTGGAGTCGGGCGGTGACCAGCCGTTGACGTAACGCGCAAAGAGCAGCGCATCGTACTCGCCCCCTTCGAGGTAGTAGAAGCGCGAGAGGCGGCGGCGGAAGCAGAAGCGCAGCGAGCGATAGAAGCGGATGGCTGCGGCGTTGTATGCGACCACGTGCAGGTAGACGGCCGCACAGTGCGGGAGGGAGGAGGCGTGGGAGAGAAGGAGATGCACCAGGTGCGATGCTGTGGGGACAGGGGGGTGGCAAGAGGAAGGGCAGGGGTTGGGAGGGCAGGGGTGGGGTGAGAAAAGTTGTTGAGATAGTAGGGGCGTTGTATGCGACCACGTGCAGGTAGACGGCGGCACGGGAGAGAAGCAGATGCGCCAGGTGGGATGCTGCGGCACGAGGGGGAAGAGGGGAGGTACAAGATGGAAGGGGGGCCTGATTGATCGCTATGACGCTGAGAGTGAGGAGAGCTTTGAGGGGCCTCAAAACTCGCCTCACTCTTTGATCCATCCGCCCGCAATACATGCAGATTTAACTTCGAGATGCCGAGAGTAAGGATAATTAGACGAGCGAGAAAAGTGAGAGGTCGCAGGGTTGATCCTTACGGCGCCTCAAAAAGAGGGAACGTGAAGAGAGCTAAAGAGTAAAACTATGCTTACCCACGCCAGCCTTGCGGTAGGGCTTTGCAACGCCGAGCGTGAGGATGTAGAGGAGCGAGGGCGATGGGGTGTGGCGGGGCGAGGGAGGAACCAGAGGCAGCACGCCCGCCCCCTGAGAGTGAGACCGTGGGGATGGGAGAAACGAGTGTGGGAGGTGAAGGCATGTCGAGAGAGAGAAAGGGTGATGTAGGTGTTGGTAGACACTGCAGAAACAGCAGATGCTGCACCCACCCATGCTGCACCCACCCATGCTGCACCCACCCATGCTGCACCCACCCATGCTGCACCCACCCATGCTGCACCCACCCATGCTGCACCCACCCATGCTGCACCCACCCATGCTGCACCCACCCATGCTGCACCCACCCATGCTGCACCCACCCATGCTGCACCCACCCATGCTGCACCCCATGCTGCCTCCCACAGTGCACCTGTGCCTCTGCGGGCGAAAGTAGACGGGAAGTAATAAACCCCACCAGCCCGTCAGGCTGAAACGGGTTATGAACCCCAAGCACCTCAATGGCGAATTCCCGCACATGCACCCCATGCTGCACCTGCTCTCCTCCCCCATTCCCCCTCTTTTCCACAGAGCACCTGAGCCTCTGCAGGCGGCACGAGGCGGGCCGTTATGAACCCCACCAGCCTGTCAGGCTTGTAAGGGTCCACCCCGCCCCATGAGATGATGCCCCTGTGATGCACCCACCACCACCACCAATGCACACATCCGTAAACCTGATACGCCATGCACCCTGCACACACCTGCGCCCCGGCAGGCGGAACGAGGCGCGCAGTGATGAAGCCCACAAGCTGGTCCGGCTGGCAAGGGTCCATTGCTCATCATGGGATGATACCTCGATGGTGCACGCACCACACATGCACACATCAGTAACACTGATACGCCATGCACCCTGCACCCACCTGCGCCTCTGCTGGTGGGACCAGGCGTGCAGTGATGAACCCCACGAGCCAGTCAGGCTGGCAAGGGTCCACCGCACCCCATGAGATGGCAACCGAACATGCACGCACCCCATGCACCACCCGCCCTCCTCCCTATCCCCATCCCCCAGCTATAGAGCACCTGCGCCTCTGCAGGCGGCACGAGGCGCGCAGTGAGAAAGCCCACCAGCTGGTCAGGCTGGCAAGGGTCCACCGCACCCCACGAGATGATGCCCCTGTGATGCACCACGTTGGAATAGAACTCCGACTCGTAGCTGATGGGAAGGGAGAGGGGAGAGGGGAGAGGGGAGAGGGAGAGGGAGAGGGAGAGGGGAGAGGTTGGTGGAAGGAAGGATAGGGTGAATTTTGAATCGCCGCCACAGACACGAGATGACGCCCCTGTGGTGCACCACGTTGGAATAGAACTCCGACTCGTAGCTGATCGGAAGGGAGGGAGAGGGGAGCTAGGTTGGCATAAACGCGTTTGGCGTATATACGCGTTCCGTATATACGCTAGCGTGTGAACGCTGAACGCTAGAGTGGTCAGATCCAGGATACGCATTTCTGGGCAGGGAAAAAAGTTTCCCGGGCAGGGTAAAAACCCCTCCCGGGATTGGGTCCAGTGTGGTTTCATGCGGGATGTGTTTCTGTTTTTTTTTTTTCCCCATACTAAAATTAGCCATGCCATACAAATCCAGTAACGAGTCATACTACTCTCTCCCTACTATACCCACCCTCCTCCCCCCCCACTTCGTTACCCACTACTCATAATCGTCCTCCAAGATGGCGTCCTCATCCTCACCCTCCTCCTCCTCCTCCTCCTCCTCCTCCGGGGATGGGGGGCTCCGGCTCATTCCCACACACAACATTCGGCATCACATCCTTGCGCGTGTGCCAGTTGCGCACAACGTTCCAGTTGTGCGCCACAAACACCAAATCCGCACACTTGGCGGATCCTAAGCGGTTCCTGCGGGCAGTGTGGACGGACTCCCACGATGACCAGCCACGCTCACAGGGTGAAGCCGAGACGGGCTGCGAGAGAATCCGGATGGCGAGGGACGCAAGGCGAGGGGCATCTGTTCCGTTCCACTGCCACCACTTCACCATGCTGTATTTTCCCGCCTTCACCATCTCCCTTTGTGCCACAGCCTCTGCCATCCCGAAACTACCCTTCATGTCCAGGAAATCCCTCAGCCCGTCCCCCAGCTCAACCAAGTAATCGCAGGCCGCATCCCTCCCCTTCCCGTCGTGGCCGACGAGGAACTCCGCATGCTGGTGAAGGAACGCCTTGAAGACACGCGTGCATTCGGGGTCGCCGCCGAAAATGTCCTCTTCCTGGTTCGCGGGGTTGAGGATGCGGCCTGCCACGTGCATGGCGCACGCGAGGCTCTCGTCCCACCGGTCTTTGAGGATGCGGCGGATCTGCTTCTTATCGCTGATGCACAACTGCTCCTCATCCGCGTCCACGAGAGCCTCAACGTCCTCCGTGAGTTGAAGCATCACGTCATAGATCCTGCCCATCATCCCTTTTGCCTCCCCGTCAGTCCTGCGCATCGCCTTGAAAGGGAGCTGCATCAGCTTGGTGAAAACCTCGGCAGTTTTCCACCACGCCGTGTCGAGTACCTGCGCGGCGAACTTCTCTGCAACCTCCTTGCGCGATCCAGCAGCCCACACCTTCCACTCGTCGCTGACGACCATCTGCGTAAGGGTGGGGCGAAGCTGACAGAGACGGGAGATAGCAATGTATTGGGTCCCAAAGCGGGTCCCCGCGGGTTTCAACGGCTGCAACACCTTCCCCTCCACCAACTTACGGTCCCGCAAGTAACCGCGGGTCCAATGGTGGTTGCGGGTGAAGGAGCTCATCTCACCGCCACGGTCAACCACCTTTTTTGCCCACCCCATTTTCCCCACGTCCTCCATCATCAGGTCCATGACGTGGGTGGCACATGGAACCTGTTGAATGTGGGGCCACATCTTAATCAGCTTCCGGCACGCCGACGCGTAGTTGGAACCCCCGTCCATACAGAACGCGACGACGTTCTCGGGTCCGACTTCCTCCACGACGGGTTTCAGTATCCCCGCGATGTACCCCCCTGTTTTCTTCTCCATGTTGCAGTCCACACACTCCTTCAGGACAGCGCCCGCGTCGTTGACGAGGAGGACATTCGCCTGCGGCCTGCCACACTTGTCTGTCATCATGTCGGACGCGATGGTAACACTTGTCTTCTTCCAGCTAGCCTTGATCCCCATCAAGCCGTTCTCAATACCCTTGTGGCAAGCGAGCAGTCCGGCACCTCCGATGTACTTGCGACGTGGCGGAAGGTAGCCCTTCCCGGCGCGGGCGACCAGGTGCATAGAGTTGACGAAGAGCGGATGTTCGACCAGGTTCTCCGGGAGGCGACATGCGGCAATCATGAGCGCAAGACCTTCATGTGCTTCACTTTTTGCCGCAGCGTCGCCCTCGAGGTAGTCGGTCATGCGGGCCCGTTTGCCACCGCCTTTGACTGACGCTATAGCAGCCAACACCGCTCGCTGTTTCTCTTCTTTCGCAGCAGCCTGCGCCTCGTACTTCTTGCGGATCTCGAGGCGAACATTAGCAGGTGCCTTCCCGCAAAGCGCCACCTCGCGGCGCTTCATCTTCTTACATGAGCTAAGGTGCTGAGCGCATCGGATGGCGGCACCTGAAAAGACCTTGAAGCAGTACTTGCACTCGTACTGCTGTGCCTTGCCCTCTTCGCGCTTGATGATACTGAAGTGCTTGAAGACGTCGTGGACTACATCGGGAAGGTACTCCCTGGTCCCTTCTGGACGAGGGATAGAACTCTCCACAGACTGATCGGAATGCGGCGTGAGAGGCGGACTGCTGGATGACATCGCACTGAGGCTAGTTGTTGGTAGCGGGAGAGGATTACTGAATGGGATGGACGTTCTGACGAGTTGATAAATAGCATGACGAGTGGCGGGGGATTGGGTCGGAAGGGTTGGACTGAATGAATGTTGTGGGTTTGAATGCGGTAACGTGTTGGGATAGAAATGTTCAAACGTGCACACGCGACTCGATGTACGTGACCATCAATATGTCAACGTGCAACATGTGAAAGTGAAATCGCGACACCAGGACATGAATCCAATTTCCCGCAACCCTAGACCTCGGACGTGCAATCTGACGTCGCAGAATCACTCGCCGTGCCATTCCGCATCTTTTGGTGTGTTTGAAAATTTTTGGGTCGGGCGGGCTGCCCCAAAAAAAAATTGGGTTGCGTATAGCGTATTCGCTAGCGTTTCGCGTATTGCGTATACACGCTAGCGTTCAAACGCTGAACGCTAAGGCCCCTTAGCGTATATTCCAACTTAGGAGGGGAGAGGGGAGGGGAAGCGAGGAAGAAGGGGGGAGCGGGGGAGGGAAGGAGAGCTTAGGGCGAGGCGATGTCTCTGCCTCTGCAGATGTCACGCGATTTTTGGCTCTGCTTATTTTGCGACAGAGATAGTCTTACGAGAGGAATTCCGCCATGTCTCCTGGGTGGACACATAAACGTGCGAGCAACTTACGCTACGAGCAAGTGAGGTGACTGAACGAGTTGGCGAGTGTTGAATTCAAGGTGTGCTGTGCAAAGTGCGGAAGTGGTATACTTTTGAGGCGCCTCATGAGTTGGCGACTGAGTGTTGAGTTCAAGGTGTGCAGAGTGTGTGGGAGGTCTTACGCGATGGGGAAGGTGGCTTCATGGAGGGCTTTGAGATCTGCCATGTCCCCTGGGGTGGAAATTTAAACGTGCGAGCCTCTTACGCGATGGGGGAGGCGATACAAGGAGTTGGTGCCTAAGTTGAGAGAGGTTCAGGGTGTGCAGTGCAGAGAGCTTACGCGATGGGGAAGGTGGCTTCATGGAGGGCCTTGAGATCACCCATGTCCCCTGGGGTGATGGCGCGATAGGCCACACTGGGGAGAGAGGAGGATGAGCAGGAGGAGGAGGAGGGCGGATGGGATAGTACCTGCTGCTGGTGCTGCTGCTGTTGCTGGTGGAGCTGCTTCTGCTGGTGCTGCTGCTGGTGCTGGTGCTGACAGCATGTGCAGTGAGTGCAATGCTGGCAACAGCGATGCACATGGTCATGTGGATGGTTGGCATGGCTAGGGGACAGCTTGTGGGCAGGACGAGGGGACCCAGGCCTTTGAGGCGACTCAAGAGTGGGGCGAGGGGAGCCAGGCCAAGGGCGAATAAAGTCAGGGCAAGGAGTTGACTGGCATGCGCTCACACTGTGTGGGTTGCCCTGACAGGACCTTTGAGGCGCCTCAGGACAGGGATGGGCGAGATAGATATGGGATTGACAGGAATGGGATTGGTAGGCACGGGATTGACAGGAATGGGGTTGACATGTGTGGGGTTGAAGGTTATGTGATTGACAGGCATGGCAATGAAGGGTGTGGGACTGACAGGGATGTGGGCATGGATGGTGCATGTAGCTAAACTGACAGGCGTTGTGTGACGCATGGTGGGAAGGTGCAACAGGAGGGGCAGAATGAGAGCGAACAGAATGAGAAGGGGTGTGAGATGGGCATGTGGCAGCGGGGCAGCAGGGCAGAGGGGGGGTTAGCGGCGCTGGCGCTGGCGCAGTGGAGGTGGTGAGGGAGAGAGGAGGAACCACGGGCGGAGGCGATAAGGAAAGGCCGGGATGGGATGGGTGGGTGGGAGTGGGAGTGGGGGAGAGGCTGCGGAGGTGGAGGAGACAGGAGGTGGACGCACACGAAAGGAGCTCTGCAGGAGAGGTGTGGGGGGGCGATGCACCTTGCATGCAACCACCATTCATTCCACCACCGTCCACCCCTCCACCATGCATCCCTGCTCCATTGAACCCTGCACAGTTCACCCATGCGCCATTCATTCCTCCCCCATCCACCCCTGCACTGATCATCCCCCCACCATGCACCCCTAGAGGATCCGCCTCTAGAGTTCGCATCAGCGCCGCATCCCATCCCTCGGGGTGCCTGTGAAGGGACGGCGACAGCTCCGCCACGTGGCGCGCTGCCATTGGAGCGCCACCGCCATCAGCACTCTCCACAGTATCAAAACTCGTCCCCCCTCAAGCACGCTGCTGCTGCTGCTCTCTAGGCGCCTCAAAAGCCGTCTCAGTCTCCCCATAGGAACGCTCAAAGTCCGGTTGAGAGTGCGTGGACAGGGCAGAGTACCCCCCTTGCTGCTGCCACCGACCAAACCCGTGCTGCTGTTGAGGCGCCTCAAAGGCCGTCTCAGTCTTCCCATAGGAACGCTCGAAGTCCGGTTGAGAGTGCAACGGCAGGGAAGCGTACCCTTCTTGCTGCCTCTGCCAAGCACACCCCTGCGGGCCTGCTGCAGACCCCTCAGAATTTGTCGCCACTGAAGCATACTCCTGCTGCTCTAGAGGCGCCTCAAAGGCCGTCTCCCCAAACGAATGCGGAGGCGGTAGAGAGGGCAGGGCAGAGTACCCGTCCTGGTGGCGCCATGCACACTCCTGCCGCTCTTGACGTGCCTCAAAGACCGTCTCTCCGTACGAATGTTTTGAGGGCGGTAGAGAGGGCAGGGCAGAATAGATCCCCTGTGGCTGATGCAAGGGAGCATGCTCCTGTATCCTACTCCGCTGCGGTCCTTCTTGAGACGGTGCTTGCATCCCTATAGGCGGACGATCGTGAGATTGTTGTAACCCTGTTACACAAACCCTAATCTCAGGCGAACTACATGCTGCATGGCGAACTGCTCCCCCCTCGCTTGTCCCCGCTATAGCATGAGTAGCTACACTACACCTTGTCTCTATACTGTTTCTAACACAGTTCTCTGTACTCTCTGAATCTCCCGGCGAGTCTGATAACCTAAGCCCTCTGGTCCTATCAGAAACCCAATCGATCTCGTATGAATATTCCCCATCCCTACCTCCCTCTCGTGCTCTACCACTCATGCGACCTTCATCTCCCTCCTTACCACCCATTCCAACCCCATTGCACCACGCATCACCCCTGTAAGAATCTGCCCCCGAGTCATGCGTCCCCCCTCTCCCCGCGCCATCCCCCTCCTCGCAGCAGCTGGTGAATTCGTTGGCGGGCCGCCACGCGCTGACGTCATTCCGCCGCATGCTGACGTGGCGGCTGCCATCCACCTGCCGGCTGAAAAGGGGTCGTCGTAAAGAAAGAAGTGAAATCAAATTAGTGCAAAGGGGTATTTCGATGTTTCTTGAAATCCGCAAAAACGAAGCGGAATGCTTCGCCTGCCTTCGCCTACTAGTTACACCGCATGTCGAACTTCGCAATCTGACCCTCCCGTTCGGAAACCTAGCCCACCTGCAGAACAGCGCCAGCACTACTCCTTCGCCTACTTCGCCTGGATACTGTACCGCTTCTTGAACTTGAGGTGTTAGTAAAAAAAATCGTCCAGTTCAGAAAACACGATAAGTACAACTGCTGGTGAAATACCTGCGTAGCTGCGCCAGCTCTACTCCTTCGCCTACTTCGCCTGGATGCTGTACCGCTTCTTGAACTTGAGGAGTTGGTTAAAAAAAAATCGTCCAGTTCAGAAAACACGATAAGTACAACTGCTGGTGAAATACCTGCGTAGCTGCGCCAGCTCTACTCCTTCGCCTCCTTCGCCTCATTCGTTTCTTTCGCTTCTTTCACGTCCTTTGCCTGGATGTTGTACCGCTTGTTGAACTTTGCGATCTGCCCCTCCGTCTCCGCCTTCTTGCCCGGATTGCGGATGTAGAACGGACGGTCGGATTTGAACACCTGCGCGGACAGCATGCGCACAAGGCGGCCCTGCGGCGTGACGAGGCTGAGCCACTGCAAGGCGGGGTGGATTCCCTTCTTCATCGCACTCAGTTACGCCCGTCGCTCCCAGGCGACAACGAGAGTTATCAACTTAAGGTTCGACAACGTCCGTCACAAGACGGATCTCTGTGCACGAAGCGGGAACGAGCGAGGGGGACAAACACAGAGTTCCTGATAGCATCAGGAAGCAGATTATTGTCCCGTTTGGAGTTCCCGAGGAGGTTAGGTCAGGAGGAGTCAGGCCATAGGCTTGTCGGGTGTGACAAGTGTTTCTTTCCCAGCTGGCAACCCTTACGCACCAATCGCATCACTCGGCATCTATGAACAAAAAACCTGCTCGAATTCGATGTTATTGTCATATCGCTGTGAGCACCGATCCCGCCATAGTGTAGTTGCTCCCGTGCCTACCAACAGGCACCATGGAGCGATTTGACCCACGGGGGAGGTAAGCGGGAAGAAGACGGCTTCAGTCGTGACGGACACGCGCAGATGGTTCTGGGCCACCCGTTGCAAGGCGGAAGTGACCGTAGGAGCGTTACCACACTCGAAAAAGATGTGAGTGTGTGTTTCCATGCGATTATCGTAACATCGAGTGCAGATGCCTTTGGAGGGGGTATAGGGCATCCTATCTCCGCAGGGAAGGGGGCGAGTGAAAAGGCGAAAGAGAATGTCTCCTTGACGACTGGTCTGGTCCTTGAGAAAGGCATGAGTGAGGTCCGGTAATGAGGGTAAGGTGAAGGAGAGGGACTCGTTCCACCTATCGACGTGATCAAGGCGTTGCGGTGTGTAGAGAAGCTGCCGTATCGTGGCTAGCGACGGCCGTTGACGAAGTAGCTCGTGTCGGACCCCGAGCACCGCTCCTGAGCAGAAGGTTCCCACCAGCCACTTCCCCATTACACACACCGTAATGACAGCTGCTGCTGGTAAGGTCTTGATTCCAAAAGGCGTCATGTTCACCTGTCTCCCTTGCGTCACTTCATGGCAGTCAAATTTAACACGTCCGTCATCCATGAACTGCTTGACACGTAGCACCTGTGGTCGATGGTCGGTCGGTGCTGCTTCGAAGGCCCAGTCGTTATTGCGTAGGTAGTCTGGGCGTGGTGTGAAATCGTAGAGCACATCCCACCAGTCATCGGGAACCGCTTGGTATATAGCTAGCAGTATTCGCAGACCGCCTGGGTATTTTTTGGGCGGGTATATTGTCCGGAATTCGGATGGTGTCAGTTGCCGCGACCCCCCAGAAGCAGGCCGAATAAGGTCACCAAGACGGATTTGTTTGTCTAACAGAAAGAATTCGTCTTTAACTCGGCCAAAAGGTTTCTCGTCGGGCTTATGAATGAACCTGTTAAAAGCCACTGGCTCAGCCATCAGGACCCATGGCTCCAATCGCGGCCTTGATATTTTTGCAGGAGCTTCCAGAATGCTTTTCAGCTCCGCAAGAGCCCGAGGGGGAGTCGACTCAGGTAAATGTTTGAGTATGTCGGGGTGCGCGAGGTAGCAGTGCAGTCCGTAGGGAAGAGTGCAGCAATCCCGGGCGGTGTCCTCGTATGACAAGATCTCCTACTCGAGTGTTGAAACCCTACACCGCATCCTGGCCCTTTTTCTCACCGCTTGTAAAACCTGTTTTTTCCACCGAGGCAAGGGCTCCAAGAAACAACGACTTGCCACTGCAAAACGGGTCCAAGCTGCCACCCGGCACAAACGGCTCCAATTCCTGCCCAACAGTTCCCCACAAATACACCCAGAACTTCGCGCCTCTTGGCTTCTCCACAGTCCCTTCCAACCACCTTAAGCGCGGGCCTCAGTTATGTCAAACTCATATTATTTAGCTTGTCTAGGCTATAGTGGGGTAGACACTATGGGGTACAGTTTCCTAGGGTTTCCTACTTGTACCCAACCTTGTGCTAGTTCATTCATCCTTGTTTCTTCACATGGTATAGAGCTGGTTCCCTCGTGGGAACACTTCCTTGGGCCCACCACTAAAAATTTCTTTCTGACCGGAGCGTCAGTTGCTCCTGCCCGAGGCGCGTCTTTTTCGCCGCCCTCCCAGGCCCTTAGTGGCCCCTAGCGACCTCGTCGCTGCCCCTACGCGGCCCCGTCGCCGCCCCTACGCGGCCCCGTCGCCGCCCCTATGCGGCCCTTTCGCCGCCCCTAGCGGCCCCGTCGCCGCCTCTCACCCTACGCGGCCCCGTCGCCGCCCCTACGCGGCTCCATCGCCGCCCCTAGCGGCCCCGTCGCCGCCCCTAGCGGCCCCGTCGCCGCCCCTAGCGGCCCCGTCGCCGCCCCTAGCGGCCCCGTCGCCGCCCCTAGCGGCCCCGTAGCCGCCTCTTTCCCTACGCGGCCCCGTCGCCGCCCATACGCGGCCCCGTCGCCGCCCCTACGCGGCCCTTTCGCCGCCCCTAGCGGCCCCGTCGCCGCCTCTCACCCTCTGCGGCCCCGTAGCCGCCCCTACGCGGCCCCATCGCCGCTCCTAGCGGCCCCGAAGACGCCCCTAGCGGCCCCGTCGCCGCTTCCCTCCCTACGCGGCCCCGTCGCCGCCCCTAGCAGCCCCAACGCCGCCTCTACCGAGCAGCCGCCCAGCAGCCGAGCCGCCCGACAGCCGAGCCGCCCGACAGCCGAGCCGCCCGACAGCCGAGCCGCCCGACAGCCGAGCCGCCCGACAGCCGAGCCGCCTAACAGCCGAGCCGCCCAGCAGCTGAGCCGCCGAGCCGCCGAGTCGCCCAGCAGCCGAGCCGCCGAGCCGCCCTGCCGTCGAGCCACTACTGTTCCTACAGGCACGCCCCGACCCTACTTCCTCCGACTGGTGAGATCACTTCCTGCTAGGCCACTGCAGTCATGGCTACCCCCAGTGTTCTTACCTTTGATACTGAGGGTCGTGCTGTTGACTTTGAGGTTTGGGTAGATGACCTCCAGCTGTTCCTACAGTGCGATAGGGCAGACGGACTCTCCCTGTTCGATCTCACCTCTGGTGCCTCCCCTGCCCCGCCTGCTACTGCTGACAGCACTGTTCGCTCACAGTGGGCCACACGCGATGCTGCTGCACGTCTTGCTGTGCGTCGCCACTTACCGACCACTGAGCGCGCGCACTTTAGCCAGTACAAGAGTGCTCAGACCTTGTACGACGCTGTAGTTGCACGCTACTCCTCCCCTGCTACTGCTGCACTGAGCCGCCTCATGCTACCGTACCTCTTCCCTGACCTTGCTGCCTTTCCCACAGTCGCTGACCTCATTACGCACCTCCGCACTAGTGACACTCGCTACCGCGCTGCGCTTCCTGCTGAGTTCTGTGCCAAGAACCCCCCCCCCATGTACATCACCTTCTACTACATAGTCACCCGGCTCCCTGACTCCCTTCGCTTAGTCAGGGACCACTTCCTCTCAGTCTGCCCCACCACGCTCACCGTTGACCTCCTCGAGGAGCGCCTCCTAGCAGCAGAGAAGAGCATAGTCGCTGTAGGAGCCTCTCGTGGTGACCCTCGCACCCCCGTCTTTGAGGGGTGTTCCCCCTCCCCCCTCTTGCCCTCTGTTGCTTCTGCTGCTGCGGCCGACCTCGTTGGTTTCGAGTCGGTCGGCGCTGCGTCTGCCCCTAGCGGGAGACGCCGCACCGGCAAGGGCAAGGGGGGCAAGGGCGCTGGAGGGGCTGGCGGGGGCGGTGGAGGGGGTGGTGGAGGCAGTGGAGGGGGTGGGGGTGGTGGGAGTGGTGGCGGGGGTGGAGGTGTCGGTGGCAGCAGTGGAGGCGGAGGAGGCGGCGGCGGTGGCGGAGGGAGCGGAGGCGGCGGAGGTGGCGGAGGCGGCGGAGGTGGCGGAGGCGGCGGCGGCAGCGGTGGAGCTGGTCGCGGCTCTGCGCAGAGGAGTGGGTCTGGTGGTGGTCAGCGCCAGCAGCAGCAGCGCACTCGTGAGACCCTGTCCCCTCAACAGCTTCGTGAGTGGTACGCTGCGCGTCAGCGCGGTGCGGGTACTGGTCCCTGCACTTACGTCCTCCGTACCGGCGACCGCGCTGGTGAGCAGTGCGGGGGCCCGCACTCCACCCAGCGCTGCTTCGGCCGCCTGACGGATGCGTGGCGTCACCAGTTCCCTGAGGCCTCTGAGATCCCTCGCTGGGGAGAGCTGTCTAGGGCGGGGGTTGCTATCTTTGATCTTGATTATGATGCTATTCTTGCTGCCATGTATGCTGTGTCTGATAGTGCTGAGGGTGACTGTTACCTGTGTGTTCCGCTGACCCGGGCATTGCGGCTGCTCCTCTAGGTGCTGGTGAGGCTGCTGCTCTAGGTGCTAGTGCGTCTGCTGCTCTAGGTGCTGGTGAGTCTGCTCT